CGAGACTTTGAAACCGCTCCCAATCTGTAATTTTCTCAATAGGTTCCGAAAGATTCCTAATCTTAACGTGATCCAGTATGTGGAATGCTATTGGTAGGTGATCTGAATCCAAAATATCAGAGACGATGACATCTGACACTCTGATATTTTGGTGAACCACAATGTCCAACACGTCACCATTACCCGCAGGGGAATAGTGAGTGGGGCACTGTGGCGCTGAAATTTCGAAGTCACTCCTATTAAATAAATCAATGAGTTTCAAGCCTGAGGGGTTTGAGACTCTGCTATTCCAGAATGGGTTCTTAGAATTCAGATCACCTGCCAAGATTGACTTACGTCTAAAGCTTAAGAGCTCAGTGATGTCAGCATCACTCCAGGCTCTGCCTGGAGATTTATAAACAGCTGCAAGTAGTACTTGGCTGTTACCAATTGGTATGCAGACCCCTGTCGCTTCTACTGAAACAAGGGGTGGCAGGTCTACATGGTTGTGGGGAATGCCTTTTCTAACTGCAACGGCAGTTCCGCCTTTTCTGCCCGATTGGCGGTCGGTTCTGTAAAAGTGGTAATTTGGAATAAAGAACCTCTCATGAGGTTTCAGATGTGTCTCTGAAAACAGGGCCACATCTACGTGTAAGTCTTGCAGCTGTTTACTGAGCTCATAGCGCTGCCTCCCAATGCCATTCGCATTAAATGCTATGACTTTGAGGGGCCTATGAACTCTAGTGGCCATCTTGCTTCATGAGTTTGAGTACAATTTTAGTGATGGCCAATACTTTTTCATCTTCCGTTACTGCACCACTGACCTCTGTCATAATTTGCTGCACTATAGTCACTACTCTCAACATATTGTCGAGAGATGGATTGCTGGCGTGAGGAGCCTGGATTGACTGACCTGTTTCTTTCTGCAGTGCAGGGGCCGGTGCGGTCTGCCTCCTTGTTGTGGGTGGAGCCACTGGGACCCGGCTTTCCTGGGGGCGCTGCTGCTGTTCTGCTGTAGCGCCTCTGAGTGCCGCCGCGAAGGAGACACCTGGTGTGACCGTGGTTGACGAGAACACCCTCCCGGCGGTAGTTGTGGGCGTTCTCCGAGCCTTCCTTTTCTGTTGCTCCTCCCTGGCATGTTTGCAACCCCGATAATTGGCGGGATGTGGCTTTTCTCCCTCTGCCAATCGGCAGTTGCAACATACCGGGGTGGACGCAGAGTTCCCCTTTTCTGGGCACTCCTTGTGCAGGTGGCCACCTCCGCACCACAAACAACGTGGGGGTTGTTTGCAGTTCGCCCAGACGTGGCCGAACTGCTGGCAGTTGTGACACTGGGTGAGCCCATTCTGCCCTCTGTACGCCTCTACCCTGATGGCAATGTGGCAGAGGTTGGTCAGCCGGAAGATCTCCTGAGATTTGTCCGACCGGGAAAGGGTGATGAGGAAGAGGGGGAGGTTCCGGACTGTCCTCTCCTCCGAAGGCGACCCACGGGTCGACGTCATTTGCTTGACGCTCACGACGTCAAACCCAAGGGTCGTTAGACCTTCGGAGATGTCCTCCGCAGGGGTGTTGGGAGGGAGGTGGCGGATAACCGCTTTGATCGGCTTCTCAGCCTTGGGGAAGAAGGTAAAGTGCGGGAGTTTACTGGCCTCCAGGAACTTTCTGGTCAGAAGGAAGTCAGCCATCTCCTTCATGACGATTCTGGTTCCGCTCCTGGTGTTGCGGAACTCAAAATCGCCCGAGACTATCCCTTTGATTTTCCTCTGCAATTGTATCAGGTTTGTTGCAGAGGTGAGTACAATGGGAGGCGGCCTACCTGACTTGTTTGCCGATGGCTGCCCCTCTCCTGGCTTGTCGGATGTCTCCTCCGCGACGTCCATTGCCGATGTCCTTAGTGGCGCATAGAAGTTTTTAGTCGTCACTTCAGCCTGGGACTTTACTCTAGGGTCTCTCGGGCTTGGTGACGGCTTGAGTTTTTTGGTCTGTTCTTCCGAGGGATTTCGCTTACGCCTCCTTTGCTCGCGAAATTCCTCGATAGATTCAGATGGTTCGGGCAGTAGCGACTCTCGCAATTCCCTATGGGTGGTAGCATAGAGACGGAGCAGGCCTGTGAGCAGGGCCTTGCCGTCGAGGTGCCTACAGAGAACCGACCTCTCGTCCTCAGACTTACTTAATAGCTGGGTCCATACCGCGCCGTTTCCGTTAATGGAGGGCGAGGCATGAATCAGCCGCCCTATTGTTCGTAAGCCCTGGCCAAGGAGGTCAATGTCCTCTTCGCAGCCCGGGTTGTTACTTTTCAGGCTTTCGTGATTCCTCTCGTAGGAAGCCACGATAGCCCTCCAGCGCTCTTCACAGAGTGTAGGCTCCGTCATTTCGCCTGCTATAGACGGGACGGCCCCACCACCGATACGCCAGCCACAGACTCCTTTGATGGTCGCAGACAATCTCAAGTCGAGTCAAGTCAAGTCAAGTCAAGTCAAGTCTCTCACAGCAACCAACTGCACACACACGATCCAATTTGTTGAATCCACAACTCCAATAGCCCCTGTCGCAGACACTCACGTCGCAGACCTAGGACTCGCCGAATCTCACACTAATCAGCATGAACCCGATTCAGACGAACACAAGATTATGGTCACCTGGGACCGCTCAACTCCTTCCGTAGAAGTCACCCGAACCAATCTCACTCCTTACTCAAAACAGACAATCTCTCACAAGGTGAAGACCTAACCGGATGCCCTCCACCGGATCAACCATCCAACTCACACCTTTTCCGGATCACTCATCCTATTCCTGACTGCTTCTTGTCCAAGCTGGACTATTTATACCTCGGCGGATGCTATACAATGAGCCATCTGTTGTCTGTCACCGGTGAAACGCTGCCAGAGTCGAATCCAAAACTCTAAGTGCAAACTCAGGATCTGTGCTGTGATTTCACTCGGAATCTCTTGTGATACTTGTGACCTCGTGATACTCGAGACACTCGTGATACTGAACAGTCGCCGGAGCTACACTCTCTTATACATATAGCCAGCGGTCGGACGCGATAAGGAATACCTTATCGAAGAGTTAGTTTCATCTGTTGCTTAGGAAATGCTAGCGCAAAACACCTTGTAGAAGTGTTTGGTTTCATCCGTTGTTACGCAACGGAACCTCTAATCCTCTCATATCCGGGGAAACGCGTTTGTTGTTTCGGCAATTCCTATGCAACGGCCCACTGTTATTGCGTTTCCATGGAAGTATACTTTCCGGTTTCATCCGTTGTTACGCAACGGAACCTCTTATACTATGCAACTCCTGGATTCCGAACATGTGACATGTTTTTACCTGTTTTACCTGTCACAGGTGTGACATCTATATAATAGGCATATAAAAAACGCGCGTATTCGAATGCAACGTTGTGCAAAATTTCGAGGCAATCGGTGAAGAAATTTCGGAGATTTTCGTTCAGAGACAAACGGACATTTACATTTTTATTTATATGATGATAAAGGTGTTTGGGGAGTTAAACGTTTAAATTATTAAAAATAAGCAAGTTAATTAATATTTTACCGTGGATTCTTGAGAGTTACAATTCGAAGTAGTTTTGAATTTAGAAACTTCGCAAACAATGAACATTTTATTGAAATCTGACTTGTGACTTGCGACGACCTTCCGCAGGTGCCCTCGTAGCGCTCCACCATGCCGTCCGACTGCGGGTGCAGGGGTGCGGTGCGTATCTTGCTCACTCCCAGGAGTTCCAAAACTTGTAGTATATGAGACTCGAAGTTACGGCCTTGGTCACTGTGCACCTCCCGAGGTATGCAGAAGCGGCAGAAGATGTTTGTGACCAGAGCTTCTGCTACTGTCGACGCCTCCTGATAAGGAATTGCTAGCACTTCCGACCACTTGGTAAAATAATCCATAGCGATCAGGAAGTATCGGTTTTCTTGGTCGCTTCGCGGTAAGGGCTGTACTACATGGATTGCTATTCTTTCGAAAGGAGCCCCGACATTATACTTGTGCAGTTGGCCCCGTTTCATAGTCCGCGATCCGCGATTGGCTCCACAGGTGTCGCACTATCGGCACCTTTTCTCAATATCGGCTCTCGCTTGGGGCAAGTAGAATCTTTGCCGAACCTTATTCAGGTGACCTCCTAACGGTCCACCGCGTAGTTCGGTCAGCACATCCTTTACTCTGCTCCGAGGAATAACTATTTGGGCTGTAGTCTCACAGCGAGCGATTTCCACTGAGCCCAGTAGTTTTTGTACGTGGGGCTGCGGTCGGCGATGTCTTTCCATTCCGGTCGTTGCCCGGTTTCTACCTCCTGAAGAATGATCCCTATATCTGGGTCATTTAATTGCTTCGTTCTCAGAAGAGCTTTTGTCTTGAGCCTTGGTTCCTTATTCCATTGTTGCATTCCGGGCCCCACCCGGCGTCTCTTCTCGTACATTCGTTCTTTCTAGGTTCTTGGTACAAGATTGTCGCTGCCGTTTCCTTGCGCTGTGCCACTCCTTCACGGCGCGCCATCGCTCTGTAGCTGACGGCCAATTTCTTCCGGGACCCACCACTGCCCTGGCTGACCGCGGCGCCTTACGGCTAGATGCAGGCCACAGCGCCGCTTCTTCAGTGTTCCAAAAGTTTCCGCCACGACATCTTCCTTAGTGACCACATCATGCACCGCTACGGATTCTATTTCCTCTGGATTTGCCTCCGTCTTTCCGAGACGGGCATCTATTTTTCTGTCACTGGGAGTCCATCCTAGCCATCGTCCTCTCGTGATGGTTTCCATTTTGGCCAGTATGTTTTCCTGCATGTCCTCCGTCCAGGCTTGGTGGATATCCATCCGGGAGATAAGAGTACTTCGAAGGACGTGAAACTTCTTGTTATTGGCGTGATTGTCGTCTATCTTGGTTTCCAGCCTTTCCGGCATTTCTTCTTTCAGGCGTTTTTGGCCGGCTCTCATTTCCTCTCTCGTGGCGTCCATTTTATCTCTGTTTTGCAAGTTATTGCTCAGTTCCTAGGCTGATGCAAGAGAAAGACTATGCCAGAAATAGAACAAAGAAAAGGAAGGAAGATATGAGAACACCAAATATCTTGATCATGAGCCAACTGCTGGAGGTAATGTTTTTAAAATATTTGAGAATTTCAGTATGAGCTCCTTCAGCGTTCAGTTGTACATCTTGAACATTTCTATCAATTATCTCCACCGTTTCTCCTTGCTCCTTCACAATATATGCTAGTTGTTTGAATATTCCGCCCAGTTCAACTATTGTTGATTCAATGTTCTGCATTGTCTCAGCACGACTCTGAAGGTCATCGATCATTGCCTGCTTTTCAGTAACTTGTAGTAGTGGACCATGTGCCTCCATGTTAATACTTACTTCATCAGCGAGCAACACAGAACCCTTTTGATGACCCGCGAGGGCTGGCGGAGGGAATGATGAGGAGACAGGTCCCGGAAAGAGCTGATTGCTGCGGTTCTTCTGCTGTTTCAGGTTCTCGGTTCGAACTGCAAGAGCCTGTTGGAATTCTGTAGACATGGATGCAAGCTTGGACTGCAAAGCGAGAACAACACTCGATGAATGCGACAGAAGTTGGTGAGCATTCTGTTGAGATTGTCTCTGATTCCGTGCTAGTTCTTGAAGTTTTGCAATCTGCTGGTTTAGGCTATTTAAATCACACCTTATGATGCGTGTCAGTTCCTGTATTTCTGCTGACCGGTCATTGAAAAGTGATTTTCTTTTTGCCACTAAAGTGAGATCTTCGAGTTTTATATATGTACTGCCCATATTCTTCCCTATAGTTCTTGCAGTCGTCATAAATTCTGTATGACTCGCAGTATATTTAGGTTTCCTGGGATATATTACAGCCATTGTCCTATTGGCATGACGTTCTGAGAAACGGATGAAACGAAAAAATTCCGTGGTCCTGTCTCGTGATGTCATTGTGCTTACTGATGTTTTCACTTTGTACAGATCTTATGGTCTCTGTATTGTATCGCGGGTCTGGATTGACAATCGATTTATTGGATAACTACCGGTCTTAACTACAAAGAAATATAACACTCCAAATTATTACTGGAACAGTAACACATAAAGTAAAGTCTTCAACACTTCAATTCTAATCTTCGTTTATAACCTTTCTGAATGGCCTCCATTATTGACGAAACGTGTTTAGTGTTCGTTGCCTAGCAATAGACGCCTGATAATGTTGTAACTCAATAAGCTGAAGGTTGTTTACGGGTCCGTTGCCTGGCAATGGAAAGCCCTTTGCCTATTGTGGCCAAGAATTTTTCTTTGCGTGAACGTGTTTATCTAGCTGTTCCCTAGCAGCGGATATATGTGTTACAATACTGTCGCGTGTTTGCTGTGTAGCGCGACAAATAACTTCACTCCGGTCTTGGATTTAGCGAATATGTGTATTACACACTCGCTCTGTACACGCAAGTACAATTATTGTTACTTATAACATCTTCACGTTTACAGTTCTTCTGTATTTCAACGCTACTTTCAACTCTGTATGAACACTGTCCTGTGTTTCAACTGTACTCGACGACTCCTAGAATTGAACTGTCTTCGGCGGCTGCATTCAATCCTTTATATAAGCTGGTTTCGAACTCAATAGAGAACACCGTTCTTAATAGTTCGGTTTCATCCGCTGTTGCGCAATGAACCCTCTGTTGTCTGGGAAACGCGTTTGTTGTTTGCGCTGTTCCTACACAACGGCCCACTGTTACTGCATTTTTACGCAACCAACAAACGTTGTTACGGATATTCCTACGCAACCGTCTGTTGGTATTCCATTTGTCGCTGTGGGAACAACAGTTTCCACTGTTTTCTTTGCTCAACGATGGACGGCATATAACACGTCACAGTATATTCCCAGCTGCCCTCTTTATCTGGGGTGCGTCTCCTCTATCCGCAACCTGAGGACGCGCTGTAGCTTGGTGGCAAGGGGCCAGCTTAACGTGAACACACGGTGTTAATAAAAACAACGTTTCAGACACGATTTTGTCTCCGTCTTCACGTGAAACCTACTCGGTTGACCGCTCGGCTACCGTGACCGGCCACTCAAACCGAAATACCTTTCCTATAAGATAGATGGAATCTTTGCAGAACACAATCACAATATTTTACGACTCCCTCCGTATCACCCAGAACTCAACACAATTGAATTAATATGGGCCACCGTAAGAAATTGGGTTGCTCAAATAATACCACATTTAAGATGGATCATGTCATTAAACTGCCAGACCAAAAATTGGCTTCCATAACTGCAGAAGAATGGCAACGTAGGTGCCAACATGTAAGGAACATTGAGCAACAATTAATGGCACGGGAAGGCCTTTTGGACGCAGGACGGGAGTTCGTCTTGCATGTTGGCGGTGATGATGATGACAGTTCTGATGATAGCTCCGATTCATCTGGTGATGGCGAGGAAGGACAGGCATATGGAGATTATATCTATGCGGACATTGCCGGTGTTGCCCCGTTAGAATAGACCCGTTTATTATGTAGATAAACTCTTCATGTATATGACAGTGAAAATTTTATAATAGTGTATAGTGCATAATAGTCTGCCATTCGGCACTTAAAACTTAACATCGGATATGTGAACATCATCGAGACTAAACCGCCATCACTATGCAACACAATGAGGTAAGAAGTTATTTCCTTTTGAGAACGCCTGTACTGCATTCCCCGCATGCTGGAGCTCTCCCCGCCACTACCAATACTTCTCCTGTCACTTCTGAATACTACTACTGTACCCATTGGATAGGAGGTTGGGTGGACCCCAGACCCGGTCTGGACGACCTGGAAAAGGGGTTATAGCTCCACCAGTCTTTACCTCGGCATTACGTGGAGGTGAGTGGTCAGCTTCGCGTCTCGGCCGCTGTACTTCCGGTTCAAATTGGAGAGGAGGCTGGGTGGGATGTGGACGCTGCCCTTGCCGGAAATCGAATCCCGGCCGTCCGGTCCCTAGTCCGTCGCTAACTTTGTAATGTGAAAGGAGAGAACGTCCTGAAACTCTGTTCTGAATGTGACTGTACAGAAGTGAGAGTAGAGGGGGCAGGATTGCAGTTGTAGCTGTACATCTCTCGGCTGAAGCGTTCCTTCTCCTTTGCCCACCCCTACAGTATTTGAATACGTTAATGATGAGCCTGCGCAGTATCGTAACTCTATTATTTGTTTGTCTCTCTATATATATGCTAATATCTCTATATCTAGCGTTCGTAGGCCGCGGAACGTAAGAATAATGTTACAGAGTTTAAATTTATGTGCACGACAAAACACGGCAGATATTTCGTGAAGCATTTGCTGTAAAACCATACCTTCGCTATGAAAGTGGAGGGGAAAGTTCCGCATGTTTTCTACGTGTACTGTTATTTCTGTCCTGTAACTGTGCAGATGTGGAAATAATGACAGCTTGCAGTCAGAACTTATTTTCATGCGAATGAAATGAAATCTTTGATCTTGTCTGATTTATTATTTTCTCTTTTGGGTTTGAGATTCACGCGGCGCTGAATGGAGAGTGAGACCGCATGGGCTATGACGCCGTGTAGGAGGAAGTCCGACGTTTCGGACGAACCTGACGCACTTGTTTTCTTTAGTGATGAGGCACATTTTCACCTATCCGGATATGTCAACAAGCAGAATATGTGCTATTGGAGTGGTAACAATTCCAGAGAGCTCCATGAGAGGCCACTTCACTGTGATAAGGTGACAGTATGTTGTGCGTTGTCGAGAGTTGGAGTTAGTGGCCCTTATTTTTTTGAAGAAGACAATCATGCAGTTACTGTCAATTCACAGCGGTATGTGGACATGATTAAAAACTTTTTCGAACCAGCTCTTGAAGAATTGCATCTTGGGAATGTCTGGCTCCAACAGGATGGTGCCACGGCCCACACAGCCCGAGCTTCGATGACAGTTTTGAGGGCAAAGTTCCCCGGACGGCTCATCTCGCTTCGAGGTGACATCCCGTGGGCAGCGCACTCACCTGATCTAAAGCCCTGTGATTTTTTTATGGGGATTCCTCAAGGCAGAGGTTTTTAAACATCGTCCCACAAACCTGCTTCAGCTGAAGAATGTTATTCGGCAGGAAGTAGCCCAAATTCCAGTGCACATGTTGGAACATGCACAGGGGAACTTCAGCAAACGGTTGCATCAGTGCACAGAGAAGGGTGGCCACCACCTTCAAGATATTTTGTTTAAAACTACATGATTTAAAACTTTAAAGTATGTTCTTTCATTACCTAAGCATAAATTTTGTCTATCAGCAATAATTTTTCTTTTATTCGCCTTCAGAAAGAGGAAGTTTCTGCGCCCGATCCTGTATAGTGGGCACCGAAAGTAAAGCGGCCGGGGCGTGAAGCTGACAACTCAGCTACTTCTAGTGCCGAGTCTTAATTGGTAGGACTCTTTGGACGGAGGATCAGCCCGTCGCAAGGCCCATAACTGCACACACAGCACAAACAGAAACGCACACAGACGTCCTTGACTGGAGTGGGATTCGAACCCACGATCTCAGCGTTCGAGCGAGCGAAGACAGTTCATGCCTTAGGCCGTGCGGCCACTGTGATCGACCCTATTATCATATAAAAAAAGTAAAGCTATCCCTGTAACAGGCCGTGAAGGCCCATAAGGTTGTGAGACGTTGAAGGTCCCACATTATCTAGACAGTCGGCTCAAAGATGGCGGTAAGGTTGTCAGCCTTATGTGCCGGCCGCGCTTTACTCCCCAGGAAAATTATTTAATTAATTCTGGTACTCATTTCTGTTAGAGGCTGAGTCGACCCCAGGGCCATAGTTCGGCCGGAAGGATTAGGTCAATTGAAAAAAAATCCAATGACCTCATCGGGACTTGAACCCGCGACATTCCGGAGTCCGTACTGAGACGAACGAGTAGACGCTTAAACATTGTTAAACTCGAGGAGATCACCAACACCGAACCTGAACTTACTTTCAACGCGGAAGAGGTCCGAGGCAGTTTATACCGTATGTTTGCCTGTGGAAAATAATGTTAGTCGTTAATTCAGGAAGATTCGTGACGGGTACTGTATGGCTGGTACGCACTTGCTTGTTCAGTTACCATACTGACCGGCTGGCTGGCTGGCTGGCTCAAGACCTCTGCGTCCGAAACACTTGCTGTACGTCATGTCCTCCCACTCTCTATGCTTCACACGTCACGTATGAAGAGAATCAGTCGTTAGGTAATGGGTTAAGAACTATCGACATGATACTCATACAGCATTTAGTAGCCTCTGTGGTCCGTGGAAAGAAACAAATTCCCGATTTGTCTTCTTTAGCCGACGAAGTACCGTAGCTTTTACCGCTCTTGCAGTTAATGAGTTAGGCCTTCACGGTGGTTTATTGTTATTGTATCTGCTTTTGGGTTATTGCACCTTTTGGTTATAATGTCGACGTTTTGGACATACATGATACGTCCATATTTATGGTCGAAGTGATTAAGGTGAGTGTTCACGTTTCGGTCAGCTGACCATCTTCAGAAGGCATAAGATTGACATGGTCAGGAAATACTGTCACAAATTTCGTGATCTATACGTAGAAGTTGTTATATAGAAGCAGCGAAACGGAAACAAATAGACATCACAAAGATACAGAACCGTAACAAGCTAACAAACACTACAAGGACCTCTGAGGGTTCTGAATAATCCCCGAACTTTCCGTTTTAACAGAACAGGCACAAGGACACAAACCATATCAGTTCAAGATCTTAAATATTAGGCATCAATAACATCTGAATACAAAGAATTATAAATAATTGTTATATAATAGCTTCTAAGTATGTATTACAAACTTCGTAATAGCAGTTCCTGAACATGGTGATCTTGTGCCTTGTGAAGATGGTCAGCTGGCCGAAACATGTAAAGGCAAATAAATATCTACAAATTGAGTCACACGGGGCCGTGCTAACAATTATTCTAT